CTCAGCCCTCTCACTCACTTTCACCGACAACTCGGTCGGATTGTAATCTGTGCACAAATACCCACACGCCGGCACACAAATACGCAGTTACCCTGGCAGGTTTGGCCATCGTCTGTCAGTCGGTATCCGGTGTGACATGTGCACTGGACCAGTCCTCTTGCCATCTGACACTTCTGGGAACAGCCTCCATTATTCTGGTTACAGTTGCCTTCACTGGAGCGCGGCCCTACAGGCACAGCGGAAAGATTAAAGAAGCATAAACACAGCTTGCTGATTCGGTATAAATATGAACGCACAGGCTGTCTATAAAAGCATCTGGCTGATCCAACGCTGAGCCTTTAAATGTTTTATAAGCCAAGAATGAAGACTGAACATGTCAAAGTCTATCGATCTATGTAGACGATACACTCCGACACCGCTCTACCAGGAAGTCATTCTATAAGGGATTCTGCTGACAGCCTCTGGTGTTAACTTTAATCTCACTTTGACCAAATCTGGGACTTTGTAAACTGCAGAGATTCTTTGCCTTTAAAGAGAGAAACGCCCTACAACTTGGTCAAGGTGCATAAGTAACTTTATGCCTCCTAGAGTTAGGCCAAAGCAGGGGCAGGCTCCTGGTGGAGTCATCTGAGCTGAGCAGGTCAAAAGGCCACAGGGCAGACGGTGCAGAGGGAAGAGTATTTGTGTATCTGTTGACTATGCAATTAACTGATCTGCAAAAGAGCCTTAAGTAACTCAGGTCAACATTATACCATCAAAGTCAAGAAAAAGACAAAATACAGACTTCAGAAAAAGTTATTAGAGCAAAATTTTTCTGTTAAAATAAAGACTTTAAGAGGTCTCTGCATAAAATAAACCCCTATGATGTCATCAGACCTTGTGAAGGCTGGAAGTCCTCTAACCTGGTCCTCGGGGTATTTTTCTTGTCCTGCATGTTTTAGATGTTTCTCTGCTCCAGCACATCTCAGTCAAATGAATGAACTACTTTCAGAGTGTGATATCGAGTTCGGCCTAGTCTTGTTAGCGACCGGTTAATTTAGAACTGGTGCATTAAAGCAGTGAAACATCAAAAACATGCTGGACAGAGGCCTCTGAGTTGGTGAAGCCTTGCCTGTACTGAAGCACTTTAGTCATTTAGTCAAAAAGAAGATAATTAGTAAAAACTAATTTATTTAAATCAAAGCACCTGTTAACTCTTTCATTGAAGGAAAAATGCTGATTAAGTTTGCAGGGATACTTACGGCAGTCGTGGTGTGGGTGCTCATCGGTCCCATCGCCACAGTCGTTAACCTCGTTACACACCTTCCTCTGACCGATACAGCGCCTGTTCCCACACTGAAACTGGTCAGGAGCACATGGAGGACTCTCTGTGGAGGAGAGGTGATGGACCATGAGACAAACCACATCTTTCATCTCTGGCGTATCACTCTCACATCTCTTCTTTAGTCAAGCTGGGCGTACACTGTGCGACTTTTTCACTTTTTTGAGCCGATTTTCCAGTCGTGCGAGAATCCACAAGATCGGGGCGAGTTTTGCGTCGAGCGTCGTGTAGTGTACAGGGGGTTACGAGAGGAGATTAACACCACGTGACCAGCTACCGATCAGCAATCGTGAGCTCGCACAAACTTCTGGCGTGTTTAATATTTTGCTCGTCCCTCGTGAGGGTATCGCACTGTTGAAGCGGCGCTGCGACCCAAAATGTATCAGAACCGCTCACGGCGCATGTGCAGTCCTGCATCAACGCCGCTCGCTCGCTATTTCCCTAATAACACACGTTGTTCGTTTTAATTTCTACACGTTTTTTTACTCACAAAGATTGTCAAGAAAACGTGTTTGTCGTGTTCATGTCAAATTAAACTGATCACAAAACACAGATTTACTTTCTTTATTTCGTTTTCCTCATCCAACCCCCATAAATCCCTGTGTGTCCTCCTGCAGCACTCCCGAAGGACAACAGGCAAAACAAGACAAAAAAGTCTGACGTGTTGAGTAAAAACTGCTATTTTTAGCATATTTTTTGGGCCGACGTGTTGCTACCAGACGTACAGTGTGAGCAGTCAGGTCGCATGCGAGAACTGGGCCGTACAGTGTGAGCGCATGACTCGTGAGATCTGCTCTGCGAGGAAGTCGTACAGTTTGAGCAGAAGCTGAGTGCTACGAGTGAAAAAGTCGCACAGTGTACGCCCGGCTTTAGACCCACGAGGATGAAAGAGAGCTCTGACACTTATAACAAACCCATACCCAAGCACTTTCAAGAAAAGTTTTAACATTTTCTAGCATCTTACGTTGGGTATGAGCAGCACATATTTCTTCACTTTCCTGTCTCGCAAAGGAAATTTCATTGGGCCAATTACAGCACTTTCTAAATGTTGACATTAACCCATTAACATCCAAGCCATTTAAAGCATGCTTAAAAACCACAAGTATAAACAGTATGAATGCTATGTGAGTGGATCAGAGAGTACTGTGTAACCAGAAGAACATAAATATAAAAACATTTTGATTTTAAATATGTCACAAGTAAATACAGACATAAAGAAAAAACACAAACGGAGCAATAATGTTCTTGGTTTCTTTGCTGCTTTTTCAGTGTTTCATTTAAAGTCAACATGAAGCCACAACAGCCAGTCTGTTTCTAAAATTCAACCGAGTTTCTCACCCAAAAACAGTGATTTTCTCAGCGAAGGATGGCTGTTGTCATGACTACGATAAGAAGCTTGTGTTGTGTTTGTCCTCTGAAAACAAGATAACTTCTAGTCCTACCAGTTTTCTCACAGCCCTCTTCATCGCTGCGATCTGAGCAGTCGTCCTCACCGTCACATCTCCATGACAACCGGACACAACGTCCAGTTCCACAGCGGAACTGGTCAGGCGTGCACATGGACGAGGCTGCGGGGGATACATACAGACATGAACACATTCAGTTTGAGAGCAGGTGAAAGGACAATCTGATTTTTGTTTTGAAACACATCCGTTTGCTGAAACACGGTACTCACTGCAGTTTTTCTCATCCGACTGGTCGTCACAGTCGTACTCGCCATCACATCTCCAGCCAGAGTTGATGCACATCCCACTGCTGCACATGAACTCAACTGACCTACAAGGCTGATGGGAAGCTGCACACACACACACACACACACACACACACACACACACACACACACACACACACACACACACACACACACACACACACACACACACACACACACACACAAACACTTACTAAATGATCTCAAACTAGATTCATGAAATATGTTCACTTGACTCCTTTTGACGGGCTTTAATTTGGTCTTTATTCTTCTGCACACATGAACGTTACCACCCTGAGATTTCACACTTATGAAAGGAAAAAACCATAAGCATGAATTAGACATGTTTAATTTGTCTTTCTGTAGTGTGATGAGACATCCTAATTCTCGAAACTTGAATCCCACACCATCTCTCTACATGTGATCAGATCAAAGTGAAGCCAAAACTGGCAGCAAATAGGGACGTAGGTGGATGAAAAGATTAAAACGGAATCAAACATAAGCATTTTACATCCTCAGCGTGTGTGTGTGTGTGCACGTGTGTGTCTCCGACACATTTGCTCCAGCAGGAAAAAGCTCCAATCAAAGCCACGTTTGGAAGGTGTTAGAGGAAGTACTAAACGACAAGCAAGGAAACGAGGAAAGTTAGGGAAAAGGAAATGCAGGGAATTGCTGCTTATCGGCTGGTCAGGAGGAGAGAGGGATCAAAACAGCAGGTGGGTTTCCCACGAAGAGGGAAGTGAATCGGTGTGGGACACCAGAAAAAAATAAACACATGAACGCCCACACACAAGCCAAAATGAGCCATTCGCACCAAATCTACCTTCGTCTTACACACACACACACACACACACACACACACACACACACACACACACACACACACACACACACACACACACACACACACACACTGCATGTTCACAAGCTCATCCATGCAGCCTGAAGCAGTTCCCATGTGGCAATGAAGCAACCAAGTTAGTGTGTGTGTATGTGTGTGTGTGTGTGTGTGTGTGTGTGTGTATGTGTGGGTTTAGATTCACACAAGCCAAGGGGAAGCTCAAAGAGGAGGGCTTCTTTTCTAACAAAGCGCCCTTCATGTGTCTGACGAGTTGATGCCAAGGAATGCTGTCTGAGGATGGGCTGTCTTATGCCTCTGAGGAATGCCTCCACTGCGAGTGTCAGTGTGTGAAAGAGGACGAGTGTGTCCACAAAAAAAATGAACAGAATTCACAGGACGCTCTCCTCCTGAACCTGTGTGTGCCAGAAATAAATATGTCACCCAAGAATATGGGCTGACTTACGTCAGTAGATGCAGAAAGTTAACGGGCGGAGGTCAGATCTTTTGATTGATGCTTGTTCTGGAATTTGCAATAATTCCTATGAAATCTGGGCATGGATTTTGTTGGGTTAAATTGGTAATGTGACACCATTTCATCCATTATTTACTAGCTTTGGAGGCTTTGAAGGCAGCTCATCTTTGAAGCAGGCCCTTCAGAAGTATAGCAGGAATTAGAAAATGTGGGATGTCAAAGGAGATGAGATGAAGACACAAAGAGCAGCTCAGTCAAATAACATGACCTATAATGATCAAACAGTGCTACAAAACCTTGAAGCTGCAGTGGTTTTCACACTACAGATAAACACTTCAAAGATGTAGAAACCCCTTTGTTTTAAGTATGTGTTTGTGCGTGTGTGTCAGAGAGATAAGGTGAGAAGTGGAAGACAATGTGTAAATAAAATGAAGATATCAAGAGATTACAAATGGTGACAGTCTCTAGAGTGAGCGGACTGAAGCAAAGATCCTGACAGAGACAATCAGACAGAAGCCATCGAGAAGCAGCTGTTCCAGGGCTCTAACTGTGGAAAATCCAAGGTCAAGACATGAAATCAACTTTTAATATTTTAACAAAAATACCCTGTTTACTTAGTCTTTAGGATGTTTTTATTATCTATTTTTATTTTCTTATCCTCTAAGGACATCCTACGCAGCACCATGTTCCAACAGGTAAATAGAGGGAAACCAAATAGACGCATTAGACATATCTGGGTACCTTTGACATTTGAATCGATTCGGTACTAATTCCCGGTACCTACGAATCGATACCAGTACTTAACGGTACCAATTTTCGATACTTTTGAGTGTTAAATATTTTAATTCTCTTTTATAAATAGATATATATTTTTCTCAATATAAAACCATATTTGATAAATATCGCGATAAATAACATACAACTGTTTGTATTTTAACATCGTCCTTGTAGTTTTATAATTAAACTGCAGCAAACATCTTTACTGTGAACTAAATTTACTGTGTATCTTCTTTCCTTTTGCCGTCCTTTTTCAATTTATTTTTCCTACTGGGAAGTTAGAATTTCCGAGTAGAAAGCGAACGCACCATTAGCTGACAACATTGGTGGCAATGGAAGCTAATTTTTCAAGCTAACGTTAAACAGTTTATTTAACTGCTGGAGCAGATTAAAACGATGATGCCTCACACTTAGATCGTTGTCACCGGTTTCATCTTCACCCAATCACCCGTCACATTTAGTAATGTGAAGCCAAACTTTAGAGCGCGTTCATGTTCTTCTAGTCGGAAATTCGGAGTTCCGAGGAGAAAGCGAACGCACCATTAGCGAAACGGAAGCTAACATATCAAGCTAATTATATTTACCTACCGGAGCAGATTAAGATGAGGATGTTTCACTTAGATCGTTGTCTGTCGCTGGTTTCATCATCACCCAGTTACCCATCACATTTAGTGAAGTGGACCCAAGCTTTAGCGTGCTTCCTTTCTACCATGCTGCTCTGTTTACAACTGGCTCGCAGCGACCGACGACATAACGCTCTTGCGCATGCGCAGCTGTCTAGGCAAGTTCTCGTTATGAAGGACGGGTACCAAAACGAGGTTGGTACCTTAAAAAGTACCGAATTCAGTACCCATCCCTACATATCTCTGAACCTTAATAGTGTCGAAGAAAAAAAAGCTGGGTTTTTTTTTTCTGTTGCATCTTTTGAAGCAAACAGGGTTAGAATATGATGTTATTAATAATAATAATAATAATAATAATAATAATAATAATAATAATGTAGTTTAAGTTAAAGTCCCATTAGTCATCATCACACACTGGTGAAATTCATCTCTGCATTTCACCCACCTCTGCGGGGAGTGGTGAGCTGCAGCTGTGGCTGCACTCGGGAACTATTTGTTGGTTTAACCCTCTTATCCAACCTCTTAAAAAGCTAAGTGTCAAGCAAGGAGGCATTGGGTTTCATTTTTAAAGTCTTTGGTATGACCCGACTGGGATTTGAACCTCGATCTCGCAGTCCCAGGGTGGACACACTACCACTAGGCCACTGAGAAGGTCCAACATTTAAATTAAATGTCTCTACTTTTTTTTAGTTTAGTTATTTTTAAGTAAGCTGGTCCTAAAATGAGCTGCTCCAAGTTATTAAGAAGATGTTGGTAAAAAAAGCTTTGATCTGAAAATGTTAAATCCAGCAAGCTAGACCTTGCCCGTTCCTCTCTGCTGTGCTTCAGCTCAACCTAAAGTAACAATTGTTAGCTTGTTGCAAATATGTGCAGATGGTTTTAGGACTCAACAATAATTCACTGTTGGAGAAAAAGATAAGCAAAAAGCAAGGACAAACGTAGAAAACACTTCTGCACAGGAAGGACCAGGGCGTGGAACTTATCACCCGCCAATGACCAAACGCGGGTAAATTCATGAAGTGGCGGGTTAATTGGCACAATGCACACGCCACAGTGGCGGGTCTCAAGCATGAAGATAAAGCAGCGTTGCTTATAGCGTTGACCTGACGGGGGCAGCAACGCACCCGTGTTGCCGTTGGTCTGCCATTCTCATTAAAACAAGAACTGAACAGCAACATTAGCAACGTAGCTTTACATTCCTGGTGTTCAGCTGGTGGCAGAAAACAAAAATGATTCTGAAGATGAGTCAAAGGATGGATAGAACATTAAACTGTGGTATTAATGAGAAATGGAAGAGAACTGACAACGATGAGTTACACGAGTGACTCAGTCTGAATCAAAGAAGAGCTGGTTCTGTTAGGAGCAGAGTGCGTCGGACACGAGCTTGTAATGACCGCCTCTTGGGCGGGGCGGTGCGGTGCAGCGGGGAAAGCACAGAGCAGGGGTCTGCTTCATGTACAAATAAATGAAAGTGCTGTTTCACCACCTCTCTTTATGTTTTGCTACGAGCCACAGAATTAACTTGACCCTTTGGAGTTTATGTTCCTATATGACGATGGTTTTAATAATAATAAGAGCTGGACCAAAATTAAAACAATGAATCATCTACAATGTTCCTTACAAGAGAATTGCACGTGTTAAAAATCTGCAACAGGGTACCTAAAAGGTACAAGTATTTCCTGTACGATACTACTATAGTATCACATGTTATAACATTTAGTCAGATAATAATAACTAACTTAACATGTTAGCTAACCCAATCTGAACCCACACAGTGTTCAGTAATTTTGCTGTTGCAATTAAAGTTCTGACAGTCAAGTGAAAATCGGATGACATCTTGTAATCTGTTTCTTTTTCTCCTTTATTGTGGATTAGATGAAAAGAAAGGAATAAACTGATGTGAATAGGAATCAGCCAGAGCGGTTATGAAGTACAAAGCTGAAGTTGAGAGAGCAGAGATAAAAGCCGGTAACCAAGGCCAGCCACTGTAGTTGGTGGAAAAAAATTTAAGTTCCACCCCTGGAAAGGACATTTAACTAAAAGCACAAACAGCTCTCAAAGAGAATCTTTGTGCTCCATACACAGTTTAATAAAAGCCCGGAGAACGGCCATTGATCCTAAAGACTATGTGACATTGTCTTTGCACTTGTGTAAATCTTTACCCCCACAACCCTTTGTGTCTAACCATTTGCATAGTAAAAATGGAGTAAACACTGGTAGAACGACCCTTCGTAATTAAGGCTAATCATTTAGAGAGAATGCAAAATAAAACTAGAGCTGAAAGAAAATTATTATTCAGTGGTGTAATTGTGTGTGGGTATGAAACTTGGCATTGCAGATTAAACGTTTATGTTTATGTATTTAGCAGAAGCTTTTGTCCAAAGCAACTTACAAGTGATAATCGGCATGTTGCCCTTGCGGCTAACAACAACAACAACTTGACATCAATCATGGAGAGGAGGGGACAAGGAGTGGACAGTAGAGAGGGGGGACGGGTGCAGGGAGGGTGCTAGTTTAGAAGATGCTCTCTGAAGAGCAGGGTCTTCAGGAGTTTCTTGAAGATTGAAAAGGAAGCCCCTGTTCTGGTAGTGCTTGGTAGGTCATTCCACATTTGTGGAACGATGCATGAGAAAAGTCTGGATTGTCCTGAGCGTGGTGTAGGCACTGCTAGCCGACGATCCTGTGATGACCGGAGCGGCCGGGCCGAGACGTAAGCCTTTGCAAGAGGATTCAGGTAGATGGGAGCCGTACCATCTCGGACTTTGTATGCTAGTGTTAGCAATTTGAATTTGATGCGTGCTGCTAGCGGTAGCCAGTGGAGCTCAATGAACAGAGGGGTGACGTGTGCTCTTTTTGGCTGATTGAAGACCAGACGCGCCGCTGCGTTCTGGACCATTTGAAGAGGTCTCACAGTACAGCCTGGAAGACCAGTTAGAAGGGCATTGCAGTAATCGAGGCGGGAGATGACAGCAGATTGCACCAGGAGCTGGGTGGCATGTTGTGTTAGGTATGGTCTGATCTTTCGTATGTTATACAGCGCAAAGCGGCAAGAACGAGCAACGGAGGCAACATGATCTTTAAAGGTCAGGTGTTCATCAATCACAACACCCAGATTTGGAACTGCCTTTGAAGGAGCCAGAGAAAGGAAGTCATTTTGGATTGTAAATTACTAAATGTAAATGACAAAGTCAAGTAAAAGAGAAACTCACAGCAGTCGGACTCGTCCGACCAGTCTCCACAGTCATCATCTCCGTCACAGTGGTAGATGTCCAGAATACAACGGCCATATGCACACTGGAACTCTTCTACGCTGCAGGTAGCCGTCATCTCGTCTGATGCTGCACAGACATTTAGGCACATTAAACAGATGCTAGAGAAGACTGAAGCAGTTGGCTGTCTATGACTCTTTGAAACCTTGACTTCGCACTGCACAGACTGTCAAACTGCACATGAAATGTAGGCAAAGCATACAACTCTGGCCATGTTCATAAGCTATGCAATTAAAGTGCTAACAGGGTAGTTACACTCTTTCTGCAGCCACTTTATTTCTGCAGGCTGACATGTTTAATTCCAAAGACTGACAATAATTTGCAAATTCACAAGTGATGCACTAAAGTGTTTGTCTCTGATAGATTTGGGCTAAAATTAATTATTTAACTTTAGCTCTTTTGTTGGTTTTTCTATCAAATAATGAGCATCAATCAAATTGATGGGAGATTATTTGCATTTTCTTAATGTACCAAAATAATGTCTTTAGTTTTTTTTTTGAGGTTTGAAATTAAGCATTGCAAAAATGTTGACTTAAAGGTAAAGATTCACCCTTTCAGCCTTTTGAGTAACACATTTTGCTCAAAGCCTTTTAGTCTTTGCAATTGCTACAGTCACAGTGACCTAAGGAATAAAAGCTTGCCTCTCAGTTTTGAAAAGTTGAAAAACCAAGTATGAATGACACATACCACTTTTTTTCCAACAAGGATACAAACACTCTTATGCACTTACGACAATTTTCTTCATCCGATCCATCCTTACAGTCAGTGTCTCCATCACAGTACCAATGTTCAGCAATACAACTTCCATCAGTGCAACGAAACTCCTTGTCTGAACACTTACGCATATCTGATTAGATCAAATACATGTTATAGTGTAAGATGGTGTAATTACATTATGCTTATACATGTTTGAGGAGTACCCACCACACTGTTCATCACTGTTGTCCCCACAATCATTGTCACCATCACAGTGCCAGAGGCTGCGGATGCAGTAGCCATTTTGACATTGAAATTCATCCTCTTCACACTCCCTGGGAGCTGCATGAAGAAGCAGAAAAAGAGGCCTTTCAGACAATAAAAGAGAAGAGTGCTCTGCTGACATTAAATGTCCAAATACTACCAGTTTGGTACGACTCTTCCCAGAAACAGTCTAAACTTTTCAAAAGATGCTCAAACACTCACAAAGAGACTATTTGGTTTGATCTGAGGACAAGACATACTGTACCATGAAAAGTAAACACATTGAACAGGACTGCACTATTTTCTATTTTTGCCAGGATTATTTACAAATGCTTCACAAAAAAAAAATTCTATCAAGATTTAAGAAGTCACATGACATCAGGGTCTATGACACTGTCTCCAAAAAGGGCTTGTAGCATTACTAACTTCACTAGTTTCCTCGGGTCCCAAGGGCAGAGAGAGTTGGGTCTCATCAGCAAAAAAGTGGAAATGTATGTTGGGTTTTATTATATTTGCCAGAGGAAGGATAACATGATAAATCAAAAAGTGTACAAGTTCAAAGCCCTGTGGAATACAATAGTTAAGTTTGGTGTAAAAAGAAAACTCATGTAAAACATTCCAAAGAGATTTATTCCATTCCAATACAGTGGTGCCTCATTTATCGCTGGAGTTACTGCCCAACAAAACAAAAAAAAAAAAAAAAAAAAAAAAAACCTCTGCAAAAGGCGAACGCTGAAAAGTAGCCAGCTTTATAGATGTTTTAAAGCTGTAAAACCTCTCACTACACACTTAATACACTTTACTCAGACAGGCATTAATATTTTCAAAATGTTGTCTCTTGTTTAAACACTTTCAACGCCCTAATCATGTCACAGAACACAATGCACTGAAAAAATAAAGGATGCACAATTCGGCTAAAGGGGAGAGTTGTTTTCAGGTGTATTTATTAGTTTTCCTTTAATTAATACCAAAGTGAGCTGCCTGAACTATTTTATGGGCTGCCAGAGGGTTTTTCCTCACAAAAACAAAACCAGAACGCTGAAGGCTGATTATAATGTGGCCATAGCAGCTTACGAAAACAATAAAACAAGCAGATGCATCACTCCGTGCATTCACTTTAGGTGAATTCTTCCACTCCTGCCACCGCTCACTGCTACCCCTGTAACTTTTAAAATCAGGAGAGACCATGCATGTGGACTCACCAAGCAAAGACTTTTCAGATGGCCACATGTAATGCTTCTCCTCCCACCCGCGGACATTTTCTCATTTTAGACATAAATTGTTCAACTGTTACCTGCATATATGGTTACCGCTAGCTTGTTCAAACAGCGGCCAGCTCTGGGCTCTGATTAGTTCTTTCCTCATCATGTCCTGCCTGTCCCAATTGCTGATTGGTTCTTTTTTCCGCTGACCTTTTCCGTTCACCTTTTTTGCATTTTCTGTTAGGATTTTCGTTAACATACATTTTTGTTGTTGCATTTTATTTATCGACAAAAAAATAATCTGCAAAACAGCAAGGCCGTGAAAGGTGAACCGCGTTATAGCGAAGTTCTGATTCTTTGAAGACATGACATGTTTTACATGAGCCAGCTAACCACAGGTCCTACTTGATGAAATAATCTTAACTTCAACAAGAATTTTAATTCTATGAACAATAACATCACCTTCATTTAGACAAAAACATGTTTTGGAGAAAAAAAGAAAAAGACTTGCAGCACAACCAGTGTGTTTGTTTCTGACCACAACCAAAGTCTGGAAGAATCCTCTGGGATAAGAGGCTAAATGTCTCCAACATATCCAGAAACGTCCAGCTGTTTTCAGCTAACACTCTCAGGATGATCATGTCCAGGATGACTGAGAACTACACCTCCATGCTGCAGCAGCATTCAGTCACAACAGAAAGTGAAACTTAAATGTAGCTGCTGTCAGTAACAACCTAACAGATTTTAAACATTAAAACTCTCAACAGAAATAGTTCAGAAAGGAAATCAAAATGTTCACAACTTTGTGTGTGATTTATTATTATTATTATTATTATTATTATTGTTATTATTATTCTTATTATTTATTGTGGCAGAAGCTGGTGTGGTCCACCACAGAGAAGCTGCTCCAGCATGATGACTTTAATTATTCTACAGGTTATTGTTCAGCCTTCTGACGCTCACGCTCACACACACAAGTGTTGGTGAGCGCAGGGGCAGATTTAGGACTGAAGAAGATCCACGCGCACGCGCACACACACACGCACGTGACACGCACTAGTCAACATCATGTATGTCTTGTACCACATAATTTTTAAACTGAAGCTACATATTAAGCATTTTCAGGGCAGAGTATTGTTCCTGTTAGTGTTTAGTGTGAGATGATAGTAAATATTCCCTTTCTTTCTCCAACAACTTTACCTGATAGTAAGCTAACTTTAAGCAAACCAGCAGCACAACAAATATTTTCAAATAAGACTCACAAACCTGAGTCAACACCAGTCTCATCAAAGCTGGGGTTCTGTCGTTGTACTTTTGGTCTAAAAAAAAACGTCCTTATGTCCATCTTCACTCATGCGCTTCAGGCAGAGAGTGTAGAAGAAGCCGGCTGCTGAAGGGCTTCTTCTTCTTCAGTGGTGGAGGCTCAGGCAGGCTGTATACAAACTACTGCCAGCTGCTCCCTCTCTGTTGGACTTTGGTACTGCATGTTACTTCCGCGATTTAGATCCAGGGCTTTCCATGAAACATCCGGGGCTTCAGCCCAAGTAGCCGGGCCTAACGCTGCCCCTGGGTGAGCGGCTGCGTCTGACTGCTGACGCTCCGTGTGTGTTTTTATTTCAGCAGTGAGACAAACTCACCTCACACTGTCCAGAGTTTGTTCTTTAAAGCTTCTATTAAATCCACTGTGGTGACGTATTTTAACAAGTTTCCTCTACGCTGCAGGAGTTAAAGTTTACATTACGGAGTAAAAGTTCGGCAGATACGTTTGTTTATATTTGGCCGCTGCGCGTCCGGGTGGGGTGAGGGGGGACTCGTGCTGCACACAGACAGCTGATGTGATCAGCTCTGAAAAGCGTTGATCACAATTTGCAGATCACGTTTATTTTTCACGGAGATTGGCCGCGGATTCCTCTTCCGGTCGGCATTCTAGGAATCAAAATAAAAATCTCTGAACAGTTGGTCCCGGTTCCAATCGATGCTTGATGCCAACCCTATTAATCACTGAACTGCAGTGTGAGCTTTTTAAGCAATGATTTCATGACAACAAGCTCAAATATGTTTTCATAAAGCTAGTAGATGAAGACTGACTGACACAGTTGATGGAGTACTGATGTAAAACAGTCAAGTTTGAAATGGGGAAGTTCTAGAGTGTCTGAATATTGTTACCTATAACCTGTCAATAGGAGGAAACACAGGTAACGATGTAACTGAATCAAAATTAGGCCTTTATTAGTGTCTGAAGTTTCAGCAATAAACAGTTGGACTCACTGCATAAATACTGTTAATTAATGCACATATTTTACGAATAAAAAGTTTATAATCTTATATTTTTATATCAGCTAAAAGTCAACTGCTTTGACATAGTAGGAAAGTTATGGTTAATAATAAAACCAAACTCCAACAGTTTTGCGTCACATCTTTAATCACACCAAAAGAGGAACTGTCGCCGCAATACATGGTAAAGCCCAGACGAGAGCTCGGATTAGGCCGGTTTAACGGGCCTATCAGAGAAAACTAATGATGAATGACCCAAGGCAGGAGGTAATCTATTATTTATCGCTGGCGTGTGTAAGAGACGGCCGAGACAAACAGAGAAAGAGATAAGAAAAGACAGAAACAGTGGGATGCCTCCAGAGTGAAGGTACAAATGAAGAAGATGAAGTATTTCTTTACAACTGGAACATGTTCCAGTTTTTCATTTGTCTGGTGTATTGAAGCGTTGTATCAACACACCTGGGATTCTCACACACACACACACACACACACACATACACACACACACACACACACACACACACACACACACACACACACACACACACACACACACACACTGCTTCTTTGATGGAACACATAACATGGGGATCTATAAAATTAATATTTAACACAAAAACTTTCAAGATTGGTCCAAGCTGTTGACCAAAATCTATATTTATCTATATATAATCTATATAATATAAAAATGTATCAGATTTTAAGATGTTGAATGTCACATACAGAAAAATTCTGTATAAAATTCAGAATGAAATATTTTGTGTTATCAAAATTAATTATCAACAGCTTTGATTTTCCTGCAGATTTTTATTTCTTTAGATGTAACTTTATCTCAGGTCTTCATGATAGCTTCATGAAAACTCGGGACTAGGAAAAGTCTAAATATAGAACTACACAATTAATTTAATTTTCTCTCTTTCTCCGGTGTGTTTTGATGCACATCAGCCCAAAACAGATACGACATGATGGCTGAGCTGCTCGCTCACCTGCAGGAGTTCAATCAGTTTCATCTGGACTTCCAAAAGCATTTTTTACATGTCAACATCAAATGAATTCCTGTGAAACAAAAACCTAAAGTTGGCAAATAATCATAGAACTTTGGATGAGAGAAACTCATCAGTAAAAGCCTGTTCTGTCATCAACTGACAACAGATGAATTGACAGATGTATCTCACAAATTGTCTCCCACTGATGACGTTTAGTAGCCTTGACATCTAGACGGACCGTAGCAGCAGTAATATATTTTGCTCTGCAGCTCAGACTGGCCACACACTAATGCAGCCTCAGCAGGTCTACCATTGGCCCAAACTGTTTGTGTGTTGCCAGTCACAGCGCTCTACATTTGTTACATGGGCTTAGCACCAGAGCTGCAATGAAGAAAAAGCACAAAGAGGAACAGTGCTTGTTTGAAATGGCTTTGGGGTCAACTTTGGACAATTTAGACGAGCTTCTCTTTCAGACCCGAGCAGATAAAGGTACTTAATCAATTTATTTCAAAAAAGGATGCATTAGCATTTTCTTTGCCAGTGTATGGTGGAATGACCCACTGGCTGATTTCTGTAGCGCTGAATACGTCACATTGTTTGTTGCTCTAATTGGTCCTAGCGCTGTCAAACTGTGTGGGGAGACAGTTTGAAAGACAACAGTAGATTATTTCTGCCCCATGACTGGACAGTTTTAATGGCTCCTAGCCAGATTATATATTTACACATGCAGGACGGCATGCCAGGGTTGAAGTTTAGCTGTTAACTCTGTAGGTTAACAGCATGGTTCATGGTCCGTTATGTTGCACAGGCACATTTTATACATTTGAGATTTGAATGATTTATTCACCGGTGAGCTAAACATTGAACATTTCCCTAACACCAACCCCGACAGCCTTTAAAGAAAGTTTTTTGAAATGATAGAAATTCTAAGACGATTCCAAATGAAGATTTAATTTCCCCAACGCGTTTGACAGAGGGCTGGGCGATATGGACAAAAACTTATATCTCGATATTTTTAGCTAAATTCCGATATACGATATATATCTCAATATTTTTCCTCCTGTAAAATATTTACAAGTTAACTCACTTTAAGCTGTCTTGAGAAATTATACACTTCAATCTGTAGATTAGATGCATAAAAATGTATTGATTCTTGTCAAACTTTTAACCTTAGTGCATTTTCTCTACCAGTCTGAGCTTTAGAAACACTGGTACAGCTGTCTTTTAGCACACACACACACGTACGCACACACACACACAGTTGAGAGCTGGAGGAGTATCAAATGTCCCACAGGCACTTTTTATTTATATATTTATAATTAATGTAAAATTATTTTAATTTCATTTAGAGGTGGGCCATATCGTTAATTTCTTGTCCAGAAAAAAAAACATCTATCATGTTAAACTAAATTTATGATGTAATTGCATCTACTGAAGATCACATGGGTCATGCACCATGGAGCTATTACTTGTTAGGGCAAACTTTCCTGAAATCTAACAGTATTGGCTCATATCAGCGATACACTGAAATGATTCAGAGTCTCTGGTTGCTCTTTTATGAGGATTATTTTCATGCTACTTTTGTCGTAACCTACGCCTTACAAACTCTTAACTTTTTCAACAGAATTGCTCGTAACGGAGTATTTACTAGCATAGCTAACCAGGGCGGTAAAAAACGGAACCGGAACAACATTTCTCACCCGCTAAGCTCACCTTCAAAATAAAACGTTAACTCTATAGTTTACTATTCAAACCCTTACAATACGTTTGAGGCAATTTGGCCACTCCGGCTATCCGTAGATGTTTTCTGATTACATAGGAGAGGGAGGGGTTTGGCTCGTCTCCGCACGAGCAGGATGGATAAACAGAACTCCATTAGCGTTGAACATTCCCAAATAATTAAAAATCAGGACGCCAAATGCAGTGTTGAACAGCACATTTACCCAGAGGCTCTCAGATTGAGGAAACTTGTGAGAATACACGTAGCAACCAGTCTGAGACGGAGCAACATGTCGCTAGCATAGCGGCTAATCGCTAGCATAGCAGTTTGACCAGTTATATTGATATAAAGTCATCTTATATCTTGTTTAAAAATTATACCGATATTTAAAAAATATCTATATATCGCCCAGCCTAGTTTGACATACACTCTCATTTAATCAATTATTCAGGTTGCAACACAATAACGAGCTGTCTGACTTCTGTCTTTTCCATTCTCTCTCTCTTTCATCCATGAAGTAAACAGAGAGAGGTCAGAGGTCAACAGGCCCTCGAGATGCTCATCACTCACACAGCAGCCAAACGTCACAGGGCAAAGGTCACTTGGAGTCATTACCAGGCTCCCTGTGTGTGTGTGTGTGTGTGTGTGTGTGTGTGTGTGTGTGTGTGTGTGTGTGTGTGTGTGTGTGTGTGTGTGTGTGTGTGTGTGTGTGTGTGTGTGATACATCAATGTTTTTTCTACCATTTCCATGTCTGAAACGTCTTTTAAACTTCATGAATTCAGAATATCTCTTAGGACACACACCTCATCACCGAGGCACACCTCAACCTGCGTGTTTGTCTGAGATGTGAAAAACGACTTCATCTCCAGCCGAGCGTGGTGGATCTGCTCTCCATCTCTAAATAATGAAATAAAGCTACTTCGTTGTGGGGTGGAGAGAAAAAAGGGGAGGGAGAAAATTTACTGGGCATAAGGATAAAAAATTCATAGCCAGCAATGGCAGCAGCAGACAGACCCCCCATCAGGAAGTGATTTAATGTCTGGCTGCTGATTTGGTATGTGGGTCAGAGGAGCAGGCAATATCGGTGTATGATGGATAAAACACAGCATTCAGAGAACAAAGAGCCAGCCTGTACCTGTAGACCACAGGAGGACTCACAGTGACTGGTGTGTGCTCAAGACCACTTTTATTTTTCCTTCTTGATGCTGCTTCTCATCCAGAACTCTCATCCAGAATTACTCGTTCCACTCTGACACAGTATCCCTCATCATTTTAGATTAAACTACGACTCAACACGAGTAGCAGCTTGCTGATGCAATTAAAAGCTCTAAACAGACCATATGATGTCTTGAAGTTCTTCCAAATGTCCATGGGGGTAACTAGAGAATGAATCTTAATGTGTCTCATGATCTTTGAGCATTCGTTTAGTTTGCCTTATCAGGTCAAAATGCCATCCTGTCACTGTTGAGCAAATCAAACTCAAAACACTTCATTGTTTTTGCCTAATGGCTTCTTCCACCGGCAGGTTCTAAGGTTACAGCTACTAACAACCTGATGGCAGCAGCTTCCAAGAATTTTCTGATCTTATAACTCAGTCTTAGAGAGCAAAACAAACTAGAGAAGAGCCTCAGGCAGCCACAGAGTAAACCCTTCCTCCCTCCTTGTTCTACTAAATCCAGCTCTCAGATAAATGTTTATTTATTACAACAAGAAGCTCCTCTGCTAATCGTTTGTGGTGATGTGTTAAAGAAAAAAAGCTTCTGAAGAGAATGCCAGCTTCTGTGAGCCCTTGACAGACAACTTTGTTTTTAAGATGAACTCAAAAGGATTAAAAACACTTTATCATTTATCCTCTGTTAACATGTCTTTTAAACTGGAGTTAAAACCAATAACAAATCTATATTTTCCTGGCTCAAGCACCTCAGACAACCTTGGATTTGAATGCAGATTTTTAAGTTGCACAAAATTATTCATAACGGATGTCAACTGTACTGGACTTGCAGCGACAGCAAGATGAGCACAAGAAGAAGTAGGGCAGTATTCTACAGCAATATCTTCTCTTGGACTTACTGTGATGACTGTTTTTAGTGAAAACATTAAAACAAACAACACAACACCATCTAATTAGTTAAAAAAACTTTCACTACATAACTTTGCAACCCAAAACACACAATTCCAATACAACAGATTATTTTAAATCTGAATCTTTAGCATTTATCCATAGCCTCGTGGCACACTGTTGCATCATATTTTAAACAGCTACAAACACAGTCCCAGCACATTACCAGTAGCTGGGATTAGTACGTTGAAAAACAATAATATTACTTCGTCAACTACATTGTTGTGATTGTTGGGAGCTGAAATAAAACAGAAACCCTGATTTTATTACCTGCACATTCCTGTAAAAAATACATATGTCTCTTTCCCAAAATATCCCGAGGTTCAAACTGGGAAGTATCGTCAGAAAAATGGAAATACAGCAGAACAGAAATTCACCAGGCCACAAACTGATTCCTGAATATGATTTCAGAAATAGACCTGCTGCTGACTTCATAGGGACTGCATTCTGCCTGGCTGGCAACTGAGAGGTATTCTGAGGTGAACTCACACACACCAAGTCAAAAGGAGAACAGTGAAGTGAATTTAAAGGTCTTGTGTTCTGACTGTGGGAGGCCTGAACTTTGCCAGTGTGTGTGTGTGTGTGTGTGTGTGTGTGTGTGTGTGTGTGTGTGTGTGTGTGTGTGTGTGTGTGTGTGTGTGTGTGTGTGAGGCACAGGCATCTTCTTTAGACTCAAAGCAAACATCTCACTGCACATGGCTGCCTCAAACTGCTGTCCTATTCAATAACTTCTTTGAATCTAACAGGTGAAGGCGTTTTTTGTTTCTGTGACACATGCGATCAATGCAGTGGTCAAAAATGGAGGTACTCACGACAGTCTTGTTCATCTGAGTCGTCTTCACAGTCGTTGTCCCCGTCACAGACCCAGGAGCGGCGGATGCATTTCCCGTTGTCACAGTGAAAGTCTAGTGGCGAGCAGGTGGGGAGCACTGCAAAATACAACAAATGAGTTAAAAACTTTAAAACAAAACTTCAAAAATTCAGGACAACCTTTCAACAATGAAGTGAAGAAGCATCAATATTATGATTTTAAGGTGGTAAATGTCTTTAAAGGAGACATCTTATGGCTTTTAAAAATTTATAATAGTACAGTGATCTATGAAAACATGTTTATAAAGTTCTTTACATTAAATCTCTCTCTCATAAAATTATCAGCAGTTTTAGTCTTGACAGTTTCAGTCCCATAAGCCGTTTCAGGTCTTTGTCAACTTCAGAAGACAAGCTGGAGTTGGCCATGCCCACCCCTCCTTTGCTAACCCCAAAATTCCACTATCTCTTCTCCGCCCCCGCTTTCCGCTGCCGCTCGCTTCCGAACTCAAATTATACTAGACCCGCTCTACAACGGCTCTGCCCCGGTGCGTAGACTTGAGGTGCGCAAACAGGCATGCGCGGGATTTTCAAGATCTTGCAATACAGTCCGAGCAATAAATGTGGAAGTTAAATCCAAACACCCGTTGTGTGGGAGAAGCATCGAAATGAACTGTTTAATCTGTCTATCATCAGTGTTTGCTCAGCAGTGTTTGGATCAACAAAGGGTGACTACTTTGATAGTAGAAACTGTATTTATGGCTTATTTTTGTGCATTTAAAGTCCATCCACCATTGATAGTTGTTAAAAGTTGTTAAACCTGTGCATATGAAACAAAAAACACTTTTTGTTTATCCATTTATTGTGAAATGACGGAAGTTGTGCTTGCTCCCTTTCCTGTTGGGCGATTGTGATTTCTGTCCCTTGACTGTGGAGGTGCTCCGGCGTCTGGCAAAAATAGAATCGATCCTATTCTTGCCGGATGGCGGAATGGCGGGCGGCACACTGCGCCGCATGGCTGCAGTAGTGGAACAGCTCTGATTGACTACGCTCACATGCAGCCAATATCCGGGTTATGATTGGGTTAAGGTCGGTATTCGGGTTTCTGAGTTGATCAGAATAACCCGTTTACAAGCATAAATAGAAAGAGTTACCTCTAACTTGCATAACCCGATTTAAATGCGGACGTTGGGGTAGCGTCAGGACGTATGGACTACGTCCAGACGCAATATGCGTCATTACCGGTTCTTCGTGTTCCGGTATCCGTGAAAACAACAACATGTTTCCCAGTTCGGAAGAGATAGCGACCGCGTTTGTTTGCGCTTTAGTTTCCTCGTCACTCCAAAAGAGTGGTGCTGTGCCGCGACTCGCCATGTTGCTCCCAACTTGTTGTTTACTTCCAGTGTTCTGGCACATACAAGATGTCTCGCTACTCAAAAGACCAAGATTCCTTGCGAACAGAGCATGCGCAGTGTAACGTGAGGAAATATGGGTTTTCTGTCACAATGGTGGTGCTGAACGCAGCGAGGTCAAAGCTGGGTCATTGAGAACTTTCACCCACAGATTAAGACCTGAACGCCAGCGAGTCTGGGAGGAAACCATAACATCTGCCACCTGCGGTACCAGAAGAAGGAGTTCTCATGGACAAGTAGTCATAACAAATCAAAACATAAAGTTTAAACTTCTTTTTCTTGATTTTAATGTTAAAGTAACCATTATCAATTTGCTCATTATAAATGTGTTTAATCAAATGAATGGTTCTTATGCTTTGGGGTAATTATAATGGATTAATGAATCCACACTTAAGTAGATAATGTTGAGAATGTTTGGTACTGACCTTCACACACACCCACACACATCTTCCCACAGTAAACTCCAGACACATTTGATGGCGCACATGTTAGCTTTGAGAAGAGAAAGGTTTTTGGTAAGTTTCAGTCTTATGATTTGAGTTCGTAATGGACAACGGAAGAGAGTGGACCTGAAAACCAAAGGGGGGGCAGAGCCGGCTGGCTCGTTCTTCCCCCCTTTCACGCTGTTTCTGCCAAGCCAGGCAGAATAGCTGAATCGCAACTTCTAACGCAGACTCATTACCGAGTCTTTTGATTTCTGAGTGAATTAACTTAAGAAAGCGCGTCGACAAAATGCTTTACCATCAACGTGTACCGAGGGCAACTCTGGACCGGTTCCGTTCGACACCTACGTCTCCTGTCAGCCGCCGGTGTCATCTGGATGTACCACAACATCCTCCACGGCCCGGATCCGAAAGAGGGTCCACAAGAATTCGGTGAGACAGCACACGGTGTTTAGCGTTTGGATGCATCTTTTCCAACTAAACCTAAGTTATTCAAACCATCACTTTTCACTCAGACACCTGTTTCTTCCTGAAGCAAAATCAGATGCACACACGCATCCATCTCACCTCATCTCACCACACTTTGCACCCACACGCATCCATAATCACATCATATCACTCTCACAACTCACAACATTCTCAATCTTCATAAATTCACCAGAAGGTCTATTTGAGCAAGAACAGCATATAAACTGTTAAAAGATTGTCCCACAAAGTTGCCAAGGTGATTGTTATTTCCTGTTGGTCAATTTTCAAAATCATTAGTTTAATTTGAAGAATTAAAACTTTTAATCCTTCAAACTGGTTTCCTCATTGAACTGAAACACAGACACTCAGATATTATCGGCAGTTTATCGATGAAAACAACCTTTGAGTCTTCTGAACAATATAAAATTTGGTTATTGATTTATTAAAAATTAATATTCCGAATTAATACGTAGCATGGTTCCTCTTTCACAAAAGAGCATAAAACCACAACGCTACAGCAGAACACACACTTTGATGGGGATATCCCGGTATGCGTTTACACGACCAAACATTCGGGTTAGAAAAGGGTTACCCCAGGTGTACCCCAGGTTATGAGCATATCCGGGTTTTTGGTGGTGTTTACATGGACCTGCGGAACCGGGTTATTGTGAATATTCGGGTTTTAAAAGGGTTACTGGCTGCATGTAAACGCACTCATTGACTACAACGGGACCGTTTTTGCTGCGGAGTTCGTGCCGGAGCGGAGGTAGTGGAATTTTGGGGTGAGACTGCTGTGAGCTGAGAAGCTCTGATATCAGAGAGGAACTCTTGAGTAGAGCTACTGCTCCTCCAGCCTGGAGAGGTGACAGGGAGGTTCTATGCTAATTTCAAAAGACAAAAGTCCCAATTTGTGATGTTACATCCAGGGGGCTTTTGCAAATACTTCCAAAAACCAAATATTAACAGAAAACGGACAGACGGGTTTTTGTCAAGGTTGGGGGCAGTGGAAACCCAGATAGCAGCACAAAATGATGAAAAAGGTGAGTTTTTGATAATAAGTCCTGTCTAAAGCTGCAATAGCAAATATACAAAACAAGTTAGCTTAAAACATTTTTTATACCTCTTAACAATGTCCAAAAATATGAATGGGCAACATGGCCATACTGTAAATCAACATCACAATATATTTTGAAGTGTGTGTGGTAATGATGTATCACAACATTTTTTTTTCCGTTTACAAATGACAATTTTTGAAAATTCTCACATAACAGATTAATTGCATCAGAACAAATACTTCTAAAAAGTATAAAATACATTAAAAATTGGCCAATACTCAAAATCTCAACCACTGGCTAAACTTTCATCATTTCAACCATATACTGGCTATAATGTGTATCACTATTCTAACATAGTATAGCTAATAATATAATGTTGAGCAAGAAAGAAAAAAATACAATAATAAAAATTAAGTGGTTCCTATGCTTTTTGTCTCAGGAAAAAAAAAACTTCTCCAATAACATGGCCTGGACTGAAAGCAATAAGTGGACCATGAGTTCTCTATGCATTACACACTCTCGTATTTAGCAACAAAACACCGCTGGTGTTATAGGTTTGCCACTACATAATAAAAAAGGAGAAACAGCTGGCTGTTTCCACTTCAACTTTAGGACAAACTACCAGAGTCCCAAAAAGAAAAGCGTCATCTGAAGTAATGGACAACAAAATATGTTTGGACATGGAAAACGACAATTGGTGTTTAGCACTCTCTCGTTTCCTCTGGTAATGCTGGTTTGGGTTCTGAGGGGGCGTGGCCCAGGGTTTGGGATGATAGCTGACGGGAGGGATGCTTGTTCTGTAGCTGTGTTTGTGTTTGAAAGCTAGCTTGTTCTGTAAATGTGTTATTGAAGCTTTAAACCTGATTTCTCATTAAGTGCATTGGGTTGAGTGAATAATATTGTAACCTGAGTAAATATTAAATTGAAAGATTATCTAAGGACAAGTAAACCATTCTTTTTTTTGTTTAGTGAAGTATGAAGTATTTTGTCCTGTGGGGTCACTGGGCTCTTCCTGAATCAGAATTGCTACAAATACAACAAAAGCAGAGACATACAGTGTCTTCCACATATCATAGTTATTGCTCTTTCATGACCTCAAACAAACTGCTCAAATGTAGATGACTGTTATTTTATGTAACTTCATCTTTTGTGGAACCCAAGTCAGAATCACTCTCATGCATCCTCATCTTCCCACCCTCTTATACAGCGTGCAGCAGCAAGCTCAGCTCAGCACATTCCTCCCTTACTTTATATCCGCTCTAAGTGCAGCTTCTAGTTATCTAAGCAGACCCCGAATGAGTGCCTCTTTGTCATTTGCAGACAGAGCTAATTTAATTACAGACCAGAGAGGGATGGAGAGAAGAGGAAGAATAAGAAAAGGAAAGGAAAGTGTAGCAACATCTTACAGTGGACTTTCACTCGCCTGTCAATACCACACATGAAATATTGACCAAGCAGTGCAGAGTTTATGAAAAATGTATGACGTCATGCAGAGAATTAACCAATGAGGCAGACAGGTGTGCAAGTGAGAGCTGAGTGCGTTAAGTGTATGCACATATATCTTTTAGTGTGGCTGTGCGTGTGCGTATGTGTGTGTGTGCGTGCGTGCGCATGTGTGTGTGTGTGTGTGTGTGCGTGCGCATGTGTGTGAGGCCATAGTATCCTGAGGTAGCAAAGCCCCACTGACCTATATAACCTTGCATGGATATCACATTAGTAAAGGAGAAACACAGAGTCAGATATT